GAGAGAGAGAGAGAGAGAGAGAGAGAGAAGGGAATTCAGCCCAGGGATGGGTAGAAAGAGCAATGCCAAAATTAAGAGTGTGGCTTTGGAACCAGAGGTCTGGATTTTAAAGCTATGAAAACTTAGTATACTTGGTGAAATATTGAAAGGATCCTCTGCAATCAGGAATGCAAGTAGGATGACATCACTACTTGTATTCATCCTTATATGTGGAGTAAAGTAAGAAAGAAAATTAAAATTCACTCTTCATAGATTACTTTATTTATGCACACAGAAAATCCAAAATAAAATTACAGAGTGACTTTAGCAAGATCTCTGGATGAGATTAATATAAAAATCAACTTTATTTTATTTTATGTTTTTAGTACTGGGGATTGAACCCAGACACACTTAAACATTGAGTCACATCCCCAAACCTTTTGTTATATTTTATTTTGAGACAGCATCTTGCTAAGTTTCTTAGGGCCTCACTAATTTGCTGAGACTGGCTTTGAACTTGTGATCCTCCTGCCTCACCTCCCAAGCCATTTGGATTACAGGCATGTGCCACCATGCCCAAGCTCAATTTTATTTTAATATACCCTATTTCACAAATAAATGAAAATTATAAAATTATGTTTTATAAAAACATAAAAAACCCTAAGTTGCCTTTCTGACTCTAATTTTCTCATGTAAAATTAAGGCTACAACAAAAATCATAACAATAACAGGAGAAATGGTAGAAACAGCTGGTGTTTATTGAGTATCTACAGTGTGCTAGAATGCATAAACCAAATTGGGAAACTAGGCACAATCCCAGCTTAAGGAGCTGAAGCTAGAAACTAATGGCTTTCTCATTTGTTCTAAATGTTTAAATGGGTTATTTCTTTAACCTTCACAACAACTCTTAAATGATTTTTGTGAGGATAAAATGAGATAATATATGTAAAACACTTAGCAAATTGCCTTGCATATAATATTTGCAATAAATTTTAGCAATACAAAAAAGTAATTATTTAAGGGAAACTCATAGACTCAATTGATAGTAGAATAAAGCTGCTGTTCATTTGGTTAAGATTTAGAATAAACAGTCATGTAGTGCTATGAAATTTTAGGTGTAGCACATTAATTCATTTTTTTCATTCAGGCACTGCTCTTGGCTTTAGAAATACAAAATAGACAAAATTCATGCCCTAATAGAGTTCACTGTTTGGCAATGGGAATCAAATTAATTAAATGCTATCACAAATTGGGCTAAAAGACTAAAAGTACAAGGACAAGGCATTATGAGAACATAAAAGGTGTGTAGGGTGGCCTTATCTGGACTTGAGAATGAAAGAAGGCTTTGTTGCAATACTGGCAGCTGAGCTGAGTTCTACATGATTGTGGAACAGGGTACAGGGGTGGGAGAATATTCACAAAGGAAGCAGTCTTTCTAGAGTGGGTGAGGGCTGGGGGTGCTTGAATGATACAGGAATTGAAGATAATGTCTGAAGATAACATTCGGAGCTCAGAGAATGGGGAGTGGGTTGTAGTATGGGCTGTGACTGTAAGGGAGAATGTCAGAATATAGACCCTTGGGGGACTGTTAAGCATTTTTTTATTCATCCTAAGAAGAGTAGAATGCACTGCAGGATTTTATGAAAAGGAATGATGATCATATGCATGTTTTAAAGTATTTCTTTACTGACAAGGCCACGCCTGTTGTCTAGGGAGCTATGAAAGTAGGTGAGGCTAGTGAACCATCAGTAGAGAGAGGAATTAGTAAGTATATCTGAGAGATATTTAAGGCAGAACTGATGGGCCTGCTTTTAGCTTGGGTGAGAGAGGAGGGGTACACGGTTGATACCTCCCACCTGGGATCTGACTTGCAGAGCTGGGTGACTAGGAGTGACATTCACTGAGATGAGGACAGTCTTTCTTCACTATGAAGTGGTTTTATTGAATTTATATTGAAACTTGAGAATGTATTCAAAGTGTTTATTTTCCTAAGGAAATTTGAATTTTTCATATATGGGGAAAAGAATGACAGATGTGGAAAACTGATTTTAGAAGCTTAGAGATTCTTATTCCTTGTTTTCCCTTTAATATTTTAAATAGTTAAATTGCTATTTATTTAGCATTAAAAAACAGAACTTATAAATTCATGAAGGTTAGATTTAGACTAGTCTGTCCTACATCAAATGTTTAGCCTTCTCTCCTGCATCAAATGTTTCTTTAATCGGAAAAGCTAAATAGATTCAAATGCAGCAGTCTATATATTTTTTATTTCTTTTCATCAACCCTTTAGTTCTCTTCTCCTTGGGTCATTCTGTAGTTTTATATAAGAAAAGAACTTTTGGAGCTGGAACATCATTGCTTCATTCAGTGATTTACATTCCCTCAACTTGGGGGAATGTCAGTCAACTTCCTCTGCTTTTCACTGGGCAAAAGATTGGCTACTGAAAGCCTTAGCTTAATGGCTGTGGGACTACTGATGGCAAAAATGTCTGAGATCATCTTAAGATAGTTGCTCACAAGTTCCCTTTCTTTGACTTGGAATGTCTTTGGCAGGTATATTAGGGCTAGAAAAGACCTTCAGATATCTTAGTTAAAGCTTTTATCAAATGCTGGTGGTACTTGGAGTTGATTTGAAAAAGCATAGAAGAGGCCCTGGAGTTTACCCATGTTCCCCAGGCTGATTGGGACTCCCTCAGTGTTGGCATCCTCTCAAAAAAGAAGTTCTGAGGCAGATCAGAATTTGAGCCGTTTTAACCTCCTGCCACTTTTATGTTGGAAACTAAACTTTAGAACACCTTGAAAGGAAAAGAAATCACCAGTGGTATAGTAAGAGGGGAATGTGAAATTAGAGGGCAGTCTTGCTGACTGACTTTTTGCTTAAGCACAGGAGTGAAGGTGGGAGAGGTGGTTGATTGATTGATTGATTGATTGATTGTGTGTGTGTGTGTGTGTGTGTGTGTCTACCTTAGGTCAAATAGTAGACTTTCTCTTTCTCACTGTCTGTTCCCTACCTCCACCCAATACCAGTGTCCTCAGCCTGTGCCTCCCTCTCTGTGTCATAGCCTAAGAACTTCCTTGGTGTCAAGGATTTGAATAGAAATTCATGTGCTGCCCAAGTTCCCCATCTCTCTTAGGCTTAGAGGCCAGAGAGGAATCTGAGCATGGGAACTCTTGTGGGATGGATCTCCCCTCTCCCTCCTGCCATTCTCAGCTAACAGCCTGACTACCCTTTGTCTCTGCTCCTATAGAACTCCACCTCGGTGAGCATCATGGGCTTTTCCAACACTTTGGAGATGGAGTTGTCATCTACCAAGCTGGCAAGGACCCTAGAACCACAGGTTCAGAGTTTGAGAAGCCTGACACCTGGCCCTCCTCAGGCAGTACCCAGTCTGCTGAGTGGCCCCCCACAAGCTGTGTCCAGCCTGACGAGTGTTCAAAACCATACCATGCCCAGCCCGACAACCAGTCATCTACAGGTCATACCAAGCCTTGTGCATGGCACATTCCAGTCCATGCCCAACATGATGAATGAGACCTCCCCAGCCATCACAAGCCTAGCAAGTGACCATTCTCAGGCCAGGCCCAGCCTACTGTCTGCTCACACCCAAGCTGTGCCAAGTCTAGCTACTTGTCCTTTGAAGAGCATGCCCCTAGTTTCTGACATGCAGCTGGAAACTGGATCCACTTCCAGTCCTGACCCTGGCCGAGCTGTAGAGAGCCTATGCCCCAAGGATGGAGTTGATCCCTCCCTGAGAAATGCCCTATGTAAGGTAAGTCATAGGGAAATGTCAGTTAACCTCTTCTGCTTGTCACTGGGTAAAAACTTGGCCACTGAAGGTCTTATCCTGGCTTTAGCTTAATAGCTCTGGGACCACTAATGGCAAAAATTATTTGATTCTTGTTGTCTTTTCTTTTTTGGAAGATGGAAAGTGAGGATTCTTCTCACTTTACTGACTCAGTGGGACAAGGCCCCATGGCCCCTGGCCTGGATGTGCCCAAAGACTTGGCTATTACCTCAGAATTAGAGGAGCCAATTAATCTCTCTGTGAAAAGACCTCCCCTGGCACCGGTGATCAACACATCTAAAGCTCTACAGCAGTACCGGAACCCACAAGGTGAGACTCAAGTAAGAAGCCTGCCTTCATGTTGACCATAGACTTGTGCAGATGGACTAAGCACGTTTAGGGCAGCAGATAGGCTCTAAGCTTGAAGAGTGCTGCTTCTCTCTGAGGCTAAATATACCTCTCCAGAAGCGAGTTCCTCTGTTCTGCTTTCCTCACTATGGCCAGGGCTGATCCATGTGGCCAGCTTTCTTGTAACATTCCCCATGCAAAAAGTCCTGGGGTCTGGGTTGCATGTAGTGGGAGACTGGAAGAACTCACTTCAAAGTGGCTAGGCTGGGAAAAATATTATAGGTAAAAAAGCACATCTGACTTTAGAGTTGGACATACCTAAGTTAGAATACCAGCACTGTGTTTTTTGTTTGATTTTGAGTGATATACCTAATATCCCAGAACTGATTTCTTTCTCTGTAAATGGGACTAATCATACTGACTTCATAGGCTACTGGGACAAATAACTGCAGAGAACTAACTTAACAACTTACTCTGTAGTAGCAAGAATTTTCCTTGTATCCAGACATACTGTGAATTTGTGTTGTTCCACATAGAAAAGAGATTCTGGAATATAGGAGATTGGCTCTTAATTTCTTTTTAGTTATCCACACTCCTTCTCAAACTGGGCTAAGCTAAGATTTGTTTCTTCTGTGGAAGGTGATTTGTTTATTTCTGCTGGTAAGAAAGTCTGGAATTGAGTACCATTGATCACCTGGGAATTTCTTAGTTCAAAGTACAATGTATGCTTAATTTGTAATGATCAGTCTATTTTGTATAGATTTAATCACAGAAAATGAAAGAAATATTTTCCCCTTTTTTCTCACATTGAAAGGCCAACCAAAAATTATTGGCTCTTATTATAACCAATAATGTAACCCTGCATTTTATGTAGTTGGATTTATTCTTCTGGATCCTGCTTGCCTATGTAAAGTGCCTAGGACAGTGCCCAGTGCTTACTGGGTGCTTTCAACAAGTGCTAGTTCCCTCTATTTTCCTCCACTGCTCCCTGTTCATCCATGAAGACTGTGCTATACAGGAGAGGGCTCCCTGAAGCCTCTAGCTCACAGAGTGTGAGCTGGATTCTCAGGCAGTTCTGGAATTCCAGCCCTTGACTGAAAAGGAAGAACAGAATGACTTCTCAGAGCAAGTGTTACCAGAGTACTGGAAACAAGTGATTTGTGAGCTCATTTCAAAGGTGAGAAGCTGGCCCCTCAGTGCCTGACCCAACATTCACCTGTGGGCAGCCTCTGAGCATTATCTGTGCTCATCCTTGAAAGAAGGTGGCCTCCAGGAAGGATATCCATGGTGAGATTGCCACCATTATGAATCATTACAGTGTAGGGAACAATTATGTGATGTGTGTGGCCAGACGTGTGAATAACAGATATGAGTGGAAGGTGCAGGTGACAGAGTATATCATCACAGGTATTTATTTGTCTTTTGCTTTAGAATATCAGAATTTTGAACAAAGACCCTTAGAGATGGATAAAAAAGAAAATCAGAGCATCAGGTAACAGACTCTTGGTCAACCCCCGCCTCCAACTCCAAACAACTTTATGTCCTGTATAAGAAGTAAGCATCCTTCTTGACTTAACTAGAAGCAGAAATTTTCCTGCTTCTGTCTTCTTTGACCCCCAGGCCCTCAAGTGGGGTGTGTATGGTTGGATGTCTTGGATGATTGTGGGAGGGTGTCCTGGCTCCTGCCCCAGGAAGCATGCACTCTGTGTGTAGTCCTTGCTCTTCGTGGAGCTTCCTTTTTTGACAGGGACTACACAAAGGGCTTCCCAGTGTCTGACAGGGTCTGGCCAGGCAGAGCTGGCAAGATGTGTACCTCAGGGGGTTGGACTGAGGAGATCTTGAGTAGTTACTCAGTTGTGGGATCACAGATGAGCTTGACTTAGAGGTTGGGATCAGAGGAGGCTCTTGCTGATACCCAGGATATCTCTTTTGCCACAGAGCTTTCAACAGTGAGCCCAAGATTCCCTATGTGCGACTGGAGCGACTCAAGATCTGTGCTGCTTCCTCGGGAGAGATGCCTGTGTTCAAGCTGAAGCCTCAGAAAAATGATCAGGATGGGAGCTTCTTGCTGGTTATTGAATGTGGCACCGAGTCCTCCAGCATGTCCATTAAGGTACCATTTTACTATGTTTTGACCTTAAACCTTGGCCCAGTCCAGGAGTCTCTCCTTTCTCTCTGCTGCAGCTAGAATTCTGGCTCGGGGGCCTCTCCTGAGTCTCTGAGTGAGGGTGTGGCTTGGCTAGACTTTGTGCTCTGCTGTAAGGGGTCTCTGAGGTTCATAGCAGGAGCAAGCTGTCCCAGCACTTGTGGGACTTGGCTAGCTTGCAGTTCTGGAAGAAATGATTCTTATATTAAGTGCTCAGGGCTTGTCAGTCCCTCCCACTGTGTCCCTCTACATCTTGTTAGTACTGTTCTCTGACTACTCAGACTCACTTCTTTCCCAAGGTTAGCCAGGACAGCCTGCCTGATGCCATCCAGGCCCCAGGTCTGGGGGGAAGAAAGGTCACTGTCACTTCCCTGGCTGGGCAGCAGCCACCAGAGGTGGAAAGTACAAATCCTGAAGAACACAGACTCATTTCTCGAATTCCTGGAGCCAAGAAGGGTCCCCAAGTCCCAATAGAGAATGAGGACTTCTGTGCTGTGTGTCTCAATGGTGGAGAGTTGCTGTGCTGTGACCGCTGCCCCAAAGTGTTTCACCTTTCCTGCCATGTGCCAGCCTTGCTCAGCTTCCCAGGGTGAGTCATACCAATCCAGTGCCATCGCCTGGCTACCAGGGTTATCTTCTATTATTATATTATTATTCTAGGTCAGTCCCACAGAACTTCCCAGGGTGGGCCTACTCCCCTCTTCTGGGCCTACATGAAATGCAGGTCTGTGAGTTAGTGGGCCCTATATGTGCCTTCTGCACTCAGATAGGTAGATGTTAGAAATTTGGTTGACTTTCCTTCTGCCTCTGTTCTCAACTTCTTCCTATGCAAAGACTTGTCTCTGTACTTCTTCCCTGCCTTCTTCCTAAATATTTTTTCTGGATTCACTAAATCCTGAGTTACTAAATTTCTTTCGAGCTCATTACTAGGAAGCCTTTGCCTCAGGTGAAGAGCTACAGACTCAGTTTCCCACACTGTTGCCTCGATGCTTGTCTTGAAGGAGAGGGAGAGGGAAGGGTGCTCTGGGCAATTTGCTGAAGCTTAACATGGCCTCACCTATCTCTGCAGGGGAGAGTGGGTGTGTACCTTGTGTTGCAGCTTGACGCAGCCCGAGATGGAATATGACTGTGAGAATACTCGCTATAGCCAGCCTGGAGTGCGGGTACTTCCTGGCCTGAGCACATGCGACCAGAAGGTAGGGAAGGGTCTCTAGAAACAAGGTTTTCTGCTTGGAAAAGAACTCTGTGCCTAAAAGGGGCTGAGGTCTTTCAGAAGGGTGAGACCTGCTTTTGGGTGCCTTTCTTTTGGACTGTGGCTGATAACTTGGCCAATGGGAATTTGTGTGGTTTTCATTCTCCTAAAAGCTTTCCTCTGGCTTGGGAGTCTGAACTGTGCCTTAGTATTATGATTGGAAACCTGTGGGACAAAGCCAGAGAGTTATTAGGTTTCTCATGTTTGATTTGATTTTGAAATGGGCCAGAACAAAGTGACACTGTTGCCAATTATGATTTCTGCAGAAATGTGAGAAGCTGGTATTGTCCTTGTGCTGCAATAGCCTCAGTCTGCCCTTCCATGAACCTGTCAGCCCCTTGGTAAGGAAAACCTTACTGTTTCTGCTTGCTACTATCATTTCTGCTCAGAGGGCCTAGGCCATAGGGCAGGATCATGATGGTGTACCCAGGGGGCTCAGGATTCAACCATGGGGCAGGATCATGGTGGTGTACCCAGGGGGCTCAGGATTCAACCATGGGGCAGGATCATGGTGGTGTACCCAGGGGGCTCAGGATTCAACCATTGAAATAGTGACAGTATTAATTTGTGGATGGTCCAGGGGACCCTGGGGGCCATGGCCAGTCCAGTCTTTACTCTCCAGATTGCCACAACTGCTGCTGCAACAGACTTGGCAAGTGATACATTCCTCCTATTTCCTTTTTTTTGTCTTCTCCATAATTTTATTCCTGCTGTTTCTCATCTTTCTTCTATTCTTTCACTTATATTCCAACTCATTCTCTGCCTCTTTTATCTATACCTATTCTTTTCTCTTCTTTCTTTCCTTCTTTTCCTCTTCTCTCCTTCCCAAGGCACGACATTATTATCAGATTATCAAGAGGCCCATGGACCTGTCAATCATCCGGAGGAAGCTTCAAAAGAAGGACCCAGCTCATTATACCACCCCAGAGGAGGTGGTATCAGACGTGCGCCTCATGTTCTGGAACTGTGCTAAATTTAATTATGTATGTCTTTTCCATTTTTCATCTTTTCTATTACCCAGTGACCCAAAGTTTATAATGGCTGAAGTGAGGGTTGGGGTATGGGGATCAGGTTTGTTCGGAGCTGCCAGGAAGACCTAGGAGGAGTCCTGAGGTCTACTGTGGTGAGTTTTAAAGCTCTATCCCATACTCAACCCTCAGCATGAACTCAGGAGGAAGATAGAGAGGTGTTAGTAACTGACCACTTGTGGGTACCTGTTAATGTCACTTCTACTTTAAGAGTTGTACCAAATTGGTTATCCTGAGTCTTAGGAGAAAATGCCAAGTTCCAGACAACCCAGGATGCGATCCCAGAATAGGCCAGATAGGCTTTGTGCTCTCTGTATTGCTCTTGAGGGAGGGGCCTGGAAGAGTTGGGCTGGTAGAAACAGGCCAACCACCGCTGCTCTTTTCCCCATCAGCCTGACTCAGAGGTTGCAGAGGCTGGCCGCTGCCTGGAAGTATTCTTTGAGGGATGGTTGAAGGAGATCTACCCAGAGAAACAGTTTGCCCAGCCAAGGCAGCAAGACTCAGACTCTGAGGAGGTGTCTAGTGAGAGTGGATGTTCCACCCCTCAGGGCTTCCCATGGCCCCCCTGTGTTCAGGAAGGCATCCAACCCAAGAGGCGGCGAAGACATATGGTAAAGCTTTACTGCCAGCTGGCAGGCTTGTACGTGGGTGGGTGATTGGGCAGGCAAGGGGTAGCTGAACAACTGGTATAAAGCAAGCTAAAGTGAAGCTGCTTGGGTAGCACAAGAGATAGTGGTGAAAATGAACCCTCACTTCAAACCCCTTATAATATAAGGGAGGCAGGGCAGTGTGGGGCTACTAGTGAGGCTTGATGTTTAGAGAGATGCATGTACCTACCCAGTGTTACCCAGAAAATTAGCAGCAGAACTAGGGGAGCAACTAGTTGTCTTGACTCCAAGCTCAGTGCTGGTTATACTACACTGTGATGCCAATAAGAAGAGAAGAATCTAGTCTCAGTGCCTGATCTTTACTTTGGGTTTGAGGGAGAAAAGCAGGGATCTTTTTCAGCCTCTTAGAGTGTAGAAGGAAGGAGAGGTTTTGCTTACAGCAGAGAGAACGTCTCTGGTCCCACCTGTGTGGGCCTGAAATTTCAAGTCATTGCTATTAAATTCCTCAGAAATGTAATATTTACCCAGTATGCCAGGAGCTGACTAACCATCCCTGGTTATTTATGATACTTAGCATATTAGGTATAGCGGCTTCAATAAGTTTTGCTGTTGCATTCCTAGGATAGACACTGACTCTAGAGAATCTGAGTCTTTACATGTGGCCTTTTCATGTTAATAAACCCTACATATGGCTTTCTAATTCCAAATATATTTATTTTTTCTCTCAGGAGAATGAAAAAGCAAAGAGAATGTCGTTCCGCCTGGCCAACAGCATCTCACAGGTGTGAGAGCTGGAAGGAGACCGAGCACTCTGGTGGCTGGTGTCCCGTCCTTTTGACTGTTCCTCCCCATCCTTCAGCTTACTCTTCAGAATGTGGATGTGAGATAAGATGAGTCTTGTTGAGCTGTGTAGTGCTCTTCCTTGTCATTTGCATCTACAGCATTTATTTGGGAGCCATAGCGCATCCACTACAGAGAAGATTCAGTAATAAAGAGGAAAGAGGGAGAGATGTTCCTTGTTTCTGGAGTAATCAGATGTACGGGTCACCTTGACAAGACCATGCCTGGTCAGGATCAGAAGGACCTAAATTCCTTGTTGATTCTCTCCACTTAGGAAAGCAGACCTTGCTCACCTTTCAGTGTCCAGGGCTCAGGAGCAGAGTATATTATCTCCTCCTGGCTCAGTAGGTAAAAGAAGGGAAGAAGTTTGGACACATGGCAAGTCTATGATCCCTGGCCCAGCATAGCCAAAGATTGTCACTGTTTACCATTGCTTATCCTGTCAGGACAGAGGCGCCTGTCATAGGCAGAACAAGGAGGCATCTAGAGGCCATAGATCTCAATTGGTGCCTATGTAGGTTCTAACGGTTTTCAGGGTATTTGTTTTTCATACGCCCTTTCCTGAAGTTGACTTAAGTGGCTGCTGTGAAGATGCTCTGGATGGTATGGCATTCTTGCCTGAGCTGGGTGGCTGTGCAAAGATATCTTAGATCTGGCTCAGATTTCACTTGCATCAAGATGCCAACTTTGGAGTCTGCCCTTTGTGCTGCTTATTTTGTGCTAATAGCACTTCCTTGGTGTCAGAATCTGACTTCCTAGAAGTGATCATCGTGCTTGTCAGTAGCTACTCCTTTATCATCTCCATTCAGACATCTGAGTTCTGCATCAGAAAGCTGTGAGGCAGCTGCTGTTTGCTTCAGATACAGAGTTCCCTGGGCAAGGAGAATGACCACACTCAGCTTACTCTGCCAGGGCTCTCTTCCTGTTCTCTTCTCCTGGCCTCTCCTAGTTCTCCACCTCTCCATATTCACAGAGCCAAAGATCAGAAGTGAGTCTCCTAACTAGCTTGCCTCCAGACTGTCCACAGCCCAGAAAAACACTCCACCATATCCTTTTATGTTGAAAGTTGGAAAAGGCCATGGGACCATCAGGAGATAGACCCAGGAATTTCTGGAGGAAGTTCTGTCAAGGGTGGAGGAGAAGAAATTTGATAGGTGAGAAGCTAGAGTCCTTTGGTGACCCTAAAGCAACTTCAGGACCTTAGTTCTCCTAGAATGCTGAAGGAAGCATTCTGGACACCATGTGTGAACAGGAGCTACAGGCTGTGTCTCAAATGGATCTTCATGGTTCATATAGGGTGTTCATGAGGAAGTTGCATAAAACTGTGGGTCAGGCTTCCTCTCAAGTAGGAACTTGGTTGATATTGTTGGCCTGGCCCTGAGGCAGCTCTCCCTGGCCCTATAATTGTATGGCTGCTTTCAGGGGAGGTTCAAGTTGTAGCTCTGTTTTTACTAACAGATGCTGTTTAAGAAAATTCTTGTTTGTAGGACTTTGATAATAAGCATTTAAAAAAAATCAGAAACATTTCTTCTCTCTTTGTGAATTGATGGTACATACTACTCATTTACTTCTCCACCCAGGCTGAGATATTGTTTTCACTTCACGGCACCTTTGCCCATTGACTTGCCATTCTTTCAGCAGAGTATGCCATTCCCTCCTAAGTAGGTGGGCTTCCATAATCCTGTTTCCTAGTTTGTGTCAACCAAGTCTTTAGTACACTAGTAGGCAGGTGATCTTTGAATTTAGGTCTTGATTTTGGGGGCGACATGGCTTTCTGCTTTGGGCTCTGGCAATTTCCCTCTCAATTTTTGAATATTTTTCTCTATTTAGCTGGCTTGGCAAGGTCCCTTCTATATTTGCCTTATTAATTCCTGTCCTTGTCACCTTACCTTCATGTGACCCACATTCCCCACTGCTCCTGAGTGAACTTCATGATATTTGGGCATTGGAAAGCCAGTGAGAGATGTGACAGGCTTAAACCTGATTGAGATCACTCCCCAGGATCAGTTGGAGACCACAAACTTGAAGCATAAATGTTTGGTTAAAAACTCACTTTCCCTTCTATCAATAAAGCTCCCAGCTTGGATGTGGCCTATCAAGGATCAGTTGCTAGGTCAGGAGATCTTAGTAATGTAGTGGAGAGTCTCATATTTCCTTCCATGAGACTCTGCATGCTAAGAGGTTCACATTAGGTCCTGAGCAGGAATGGGTGTGAAGTAGGGTGTTCTTTTCCGAAAAGGTGTGAGGCCCTGGTCCATCATACCTTCCCTACAGTGGTTACCCCTGGCATTATCCTATCCCTGGATTTTCCTTGCAGTACCAACTTTCTGAGTTATAGTTTTGTCTTATTTTGTTTCTGCATGCAGAAAATAGAACATGTCTTTTTTGTTTGTTTGTTTTTTGTACCAGGGATTGAACCCAGGGGCGCTTAACCATGAAGCCTCATCCCCAGCAATTTTAAAAAATATGTTTTATTTAGAGACAGGGTCTCACTAAGTTGCTTTAGGGCCTTGTTAAGTTGCTGAGGCTGGCTTTGAATTTGTGGTCCTCCTGCCTCAGTCTCCCGAGCTACTGGAATTACAGATGTGTGCCACTGCACCTGGCAGAACATGACTTTAAAAAAAATTTTTTTTGTATATGGACTCAATGTCTTTGTTTTTATGTGGTGCTAGGATCAAACCTAGTACCTCACAATTGTGAAGCAAGTGCTCTACTACTGAGATACAACTCCAGCCCCAGAACATGACTTTTTATAAATTAAAAAAAAAATCCTACTCACCAAGAAACTTCCTTCAGAGGCTTTTTGCTAACATTTATGCTGATCCTACATTGACTTATTCCCATAATGGCCCCATTTTGAATTCAGTTGATCTCTTTGACCCTTGACAAAGCTGGGCATTGCAAATATAGTTAGTTCTGGGTTCTCATGGTACACCTTGGAATCCTAGAAGAGAAATTGAAGTGGAATAGTAGACTGGTTTTAGTGTATACAAAGGAGATTTTAGTGCAAAAATTGGTGCAGAATGAATTTGTAAAGCATTCTTCTGTAGAACATGGATAGATTGACCCATTTTGAATTCTTTAAAAAAATTTTTTTTAGTTGTCGATAGACCTTTTTTTTATTCATTTATTTATATGTGGTGATGGGAATCGAACCCAGTGCCTCACACATGCAAGGCATGCATTCTACCACTGAGCCACAACCCTAGCCTCCCCTTTCTGAATTCTAAATTGTTGCCTACACACCCTGCCTGCCTCAGGTACCCCCTTGTGGAGGGCAGCCACCAGACCCTTCTTAGGCTCTGTTCCATGTCAGCCCTGTCATCAATTAGGTGGATTCTGGTTTCCTGTCTTTGCCTGGCTCCTAAGATCTAGGCTCCTTTTGGGCTTTGCTCTACTCCCTCTCACTCCATGAGTTTACCTATTGAACTCCTATATAAGCCTTTGCTCCTTCTAGATTGTGCTTCCTCTTCTCTTACTCCCCTGATCTTGCTGCTGAAATTTCCTGCTTCTTTAGTCGATTTCGTGACCTTAGCTTTCTCTCTTCTCCCAGACTTTTAGCCTTCTCTGGGATTTCTTCCTCTCTTCAGCCTGAATCCAGGGCTCCTCATACGCTGATATTTTTATCAGCATCCTAAATTTTCCCATCCGCTCCAACTTTTGCTGGACCTATCAACCCTCCTTCATTTTCTGCATCAGCCTATTTTCTTCTCCTTTTTCCTGGCTGCTAAATGTGACACACTCATAATTGACAGGCCCAGTATTTATTGGAAATTCATTAACATGTCATTACTCTTCTTTCCTATCCATGCCCTTTGTGTTAGCTCTCAGCAAAATGACTGACCTCAGTGTCTGCTTCACAGAAGTGAGATCAAAGCAAGAAACTTCCTTGCCCTCTTTTCTCTCTCCCTCCTATTGACATCTGTTGGTACCTCTCCTCATTTCCTTCCCTCTTCCTCCTAGTTTTCTATTTAATAAATCCTGTTATATGCCTTCAAGGCTTTGCTCCCTCACTGCTGCTCCCACTTCCTGGGGTCTTCTGTCTCCCTCTCCTTTGGTTACCTCCAAGTACTCTGCAAGCAACCAAAGTTCTCACATGATTAATAAAAATGTTTAGGGTTTGTTGTCCTTTGCACTCTTCCCTTATTAGCTAAGCTTGTTTAAAAAATACACACACACATACACACACAATTTTTTTTTATTTGGTACTCCTATAATCTCAGCAACTTAGAAAGATAATTTTGTTTAAAAAAATATATATATGTATGTATGTGTATGTGTGTGTGTGTATATATTTTACTCCTTTAATCCTAGCAATTCAAGATGATTCAAGTATAAGGCCAGACTTAGAAACTTAATAAAACCCTGTCTCAAAATAAAAAATAAAAGAGGCTGGGGATGTATCTCAGTGGTAAAGTACCCCTGGGTTCAATCCCCAGTATAAAAAAAAAAAAAGCCAAGTCTTTTGTTGATCCTTTTGTTACTCTTTAGCCCAGTTTTTCATAAATGTCCCAGTGACCATCTAGTTGCCAAATCAAATGAACACATTTTAGTCCTCAACTGCCTTGAACTCTCCACAGCATTTCACCCCATCCACCACTCCTCTGTGAAACACCTCCTTCACTTGGCTTTTATGATACCCCTAGTCTATAGATTATCCTTATTCTTCCCAGCCACACAGGCTGAGTCTTCCTTGAAATCTAGGCAGGGAGATATATCTGTGGCTGTCTGAAGTTTCTCCTCTTCAGGAGATAGTTAGGCAGGAAGAATCACAGCTGTCTGTTTTCTTTGAGTCTCTACCTTCTCCTGGACTCTGTTCTCATCATGCTAAGCATGCTTATGAGCTCCTGCCAGGAGGGCAGCATCTGTGAATCTTTCCCTCTGTCTCTCCAATTACAGCTCAGAAATAGATTTTAGCTGTGTTTGCTAAGAGTCCCCTTCTCAATCAGCCTAAGAGTATGGATTGGATTTTGCAACATCCAAACTGGCTAAACTGTATCACCAGGTGGTGGGTAGTTGATACCAATGAGAAACTGCCATAGTCAACACCAAGATCAGTGAAATAGGTTTCCATGTGAGGTTCAGTTCTGTAACTAGGAGCAAAATTCTGGCAAGTGTGGGTGTCTGCTGCTGGTAATATTCTGATGGAGAGAAATGGGGAAGTACTGGA